AGCCGGGGGACGGACTCCCTGCCTCCACTAAAAGCTTGCGCCCTAATTTCCCGGGTAGGTGTGTGGGGAGGCGAGTTCGGAGTCGCCTCCAACAAATAAGCTCCGATCGTCCCTCGCGGGGGTTTTGAGCCCAACAAGCTATCCCTGCGAGTAAATTCTTGTTCGACACAGTGATAATATGGAAAGCTCCTTTAATCTTGGAAGAGCCACTGGTAAGGCAGCGCCAGTGGGGACAAGGTTTGAAAGGCGATCTAGGCTGCCGAAAACGAGACGGACTATGATGACGATCTGTACTTACAACGCGAGGACGCTGGCATCGGACGCATCTATCGAAGATCTCATGATGCAAGCAAGGAAGATTAAGTACGACGTCATCGGACTGACCGAGACAAGGAGGTACCACCCGCTGAACGCCACATTTGAGACTGGAGAAGAACTGTTTCTAGGAACATGCGACAGTCGAGGAGTAGGTGGAGTGGGAGTCCTTGTCAACACGAGTTTGGCCATGAACATCGATTCGTTCGAACAACTTACAACTCGAATCGGACGTTTGCGAATATCAAGATGTGAATCAATCCCTGCCTTGACCGTCTTCATTGCGTACGCCCCAACATCCAGCTACGACGAGGACGAACTCGAGGAATTTTATATGGACTTGGAGAAGTTCTACAGAGAAGATCATACCTTCTACAAGATCATCGTCGGTGATTTCAACGCGAAGATCGGAACTAGAAGGTCGACTGAGGAACTTCACATCGGAACCCATGGTTTGCAGTGGAACGAACAAGGGGAGAGACTGTCCGAGTTTATCATGACGACGAAGACTATCCATGGAAACTCACAGTTCCAAAAGCCCTCTTCCCTACGCTGGACCTGGGAATCGCCCGGTGGAGAGTACCATAACGAGATTGACCACATCATCGTCAACAGAAGGTACTGCCTGACGGACGTCGCTGTTGTTCCGAAGTTCTACACGGGATCAGACCATCGTCTCCTGCGCGCCAAATTCTACTTTCCGCGGAATGGAGAGAGAGCCGTCAAGTTCAGGAAACATCGTCCCATGAATACCACCAACTGGGATCTGTTTTCTTCGATATCCGGCTCATGGCGAGATACCGTGATGGACAACATCGACGAAGAATACGAACGGTTCGTACAACATCTCCACGGTTGTGCCAAGGAAGCTCAGAGTCTAAGAAGTACGAGAAGGCGTCTCACCACGGGAACTTTGGAGCTGATACGCCAACGTGGACGCGCACGAGCCACAGGCAACTACCGACTGACGTCTGAGCTTGCGAAGCGATGCAGAGAAGCGGTAAAAGAAGACCTTAAGGAGAGAAGAGTAGCAGTGATGGTTGACGCCGCGGAGGCTGGAGGAAGTATACGCAACGCCCGCCGAAGCTTCGTCAACTTCAAGACAAAGATGACCGCACTTCGTCGTCCTGACGGAACCATAACTGCTTCCCGAAGATCAATGGAGAAGGTCATCCACGACTTCTACTCGGATCTTTTTGCGAGCCAAGGCCACCTTCCACCATGCCATCTCAAGGAGGACGAGTATGTCGCACCGTCTGTTCTTCCTTCCGAGATTCGTCATGCTATCATGTCGATGAAAAACCGTACAGCACCCGGTCCCGACAGGATTAAGCCAGAACATCTGAAGAATCTTTCGCCAGTTCCCATCAAGACTTTGGCAAGGCTCTTCACGCGGTACCTGACGGAAGGCAAGGTTCCAAGGCAATGGAAGACCAGCAAAACCGTGTTGCTGTACAAGAAGGGAGATCCCTGCGACATCGGCAATTATCGCCCTATCTGCTTGTTGTCTGTAGTCTACAAACTCTTTACGCGAGTCATTCTCAACAGGATCGGAAGAGAGTTGGACGAAGGACAACCATGCGAGCAAGCTGGGTTTCGAAGAGGATTCAGCACGATCGACCACATACACACGGTGTCAAGGCTCATTGAAGTGTCACGAGAGTATAAGATGCCGCTCTGTCTCACCTTCATCGACTTGAAGAAGGCCTTTGACTCGGTTGAGACTGAAGCCGTCATCGATGCCTTGAGCAATCAAGGTATTCCGACTCATTACATCAAGATAATTCGTGAGCTGTATAACGACTTCACAACCACCATCACACTATTCTACAAGGACATCATCATTGACGTGAAGAGAGGCGTGCGACAAGGCGATACTATATCGCCGAAACTATTCAGTGCCGCTCTAGAGAACGTCATGCGTAAGTTGGAATGGGACAACATGGGAGTGAAAGTCGACGGCCGGCAGCTACACCACCTTCGCTTTGCTGATGACATCGTATTGATAACACCAAGCATCACGCAGGCGGAACAAATGCTGGCCCAGTTTGACGAAGTGTGTGGAAAGATCGGTCTACGGCTGAATCTAACGAAGACGATGTTCATGAGGAACGGAAGAGTGCCTGATGCTCCTTTCATGCTCAACGGGACGAACATCACCGAATGCTCAAGCTACACCTACCTAGGTCGTGAACTCAATATGATGAACGATCTAGCTCCGGAACTGAGCAGGAGAAACGTGCAGCATGGGGAGCATATAAGACAATTGAGGACGTAGTGAAGAAGACCAAGAACATCCGGCTCCGCGCCCACCTTTTCAACTCGACGGTTCTTCCTGCTTTGACGTACGCTTCAGAAACATGGACAATGAGAAAGCAGAATGAACACGCGGTTAGCGTCATCGAACGAGCTGTTGAGAGAGTGATGCTAGGAGTGAATCGACTCACGCAAGTGAGGCAAGGATTACGAAGTTCTACCCTACGTCAACGATCGAAGATCAGGGACGCTGCCGCGTACGCCAAGCAGAACAAGATAAGATGGGCCGGGCACGTAATGCGTTTCAACGACAACCGGTGGACGAGAGCTGTAACAGATTGGATACCACTGGACGTCAAACGCGAACGAGGAAGACCGCCGACGCGATGGTCAGATATGTTCACGAAGTCCTTTAGTGAAGTCCTTCAGAGCGTTCCACGTGTTCCTGGTGCGATACGTAAACATTGGTCAACAATCGCCCGAGACAGGGACGAATGGAGGCATCACTGGTACCCGCTCGTGCAACACGATGATCAACGAGGAAACAGGTGATACAGATTAGTGGAAGTCATCATTACAAACAGTAATTGTATTTGTTAGATGCAAACAATAGCTAAAATGTGAACTCTGTCTTATGAAAAAAAAAACGAATACTCCATCACGATAGCAGCCACCGCGAATGCTGGTTGATTTACGAAAATATTAAACTAATTTCGCGCACCATTTCTGGAAGAGTGTGAGCGTCCGCAAGATCATGTCTGATGTACATGAACAAGTGACGTGTACACAAGAACTAGTTTCTCCTTGTACCGTATTCACTCTGCTATTTCGAAGCATGCAGGTTTCCTATTTGGTCCATGTATAAAAAAGAATCAATTAATATATAGAACAACTTTAGATCATTCCTTGTTTGAAGGGAATAAAGGTGTGACGTGTTAATTATTTTGAAAAGGTCAAAAGTATAGTGTCAGTGTCAAGATGCGTGATTGAGAAATTATGCACTGCTGTGATGAGAACAATACATATGGTCGACTCTCTAGGTTTCCTAGGAGTGCTATTCAGTGAGCGTTGAAGCATACTCAGACAATCGCCGGGGCAGGCGGCCAACGGAAAAATAGATGGCTGATTTCCCGCACCCCGCTCGTGATTTTTCATAAAGCATTCAGAACTTTTCGGAAGGCCGCTTGCTGAGTTCGCGATTCTTCAGTGATTCAGCAATATATCTGCAAAAGATAAGAGCGACCGGCGCCCGCCTGCTCCCGATGATTGCCTGAGTACTTGAAAACGAACTGCTTGACTTTGCAAAAATTTGCGACAAAGCTTCCGAGGTGTTTATACGAATATTATCACTTGCAGCGAACGATCAAGTGTAAGTGAAGAGAATGGATGTAAAGTATAAAGGCGGAAATTGATGCAGCAGACGATGCAAATGAGTTGAGTATCAGAGGCTGGTCCATAGAGGTAGATGAAATTGGTAAGTCACATAAGAAAAGGGAAAAATCATGATTTCGTTTCTCGCGTGCGCAGGCGCTGGCAAAGCCGATTCGCATAAGTCTTCCATGATATTCCAAACCTTGTTCCCAATCTTATTACGCGTATAGGTACCAAAACTAATGTCATGAAATTGGCTGTTTGTTGCGAACTATTTGCTCATTTGCTGCACATTTTGGAATGCCCGTTATAAGACCTATTGGGCCTATAGGTGTCGTTATGTCTCAAGTTTATAATAGATTGCCTGATGATGTCTGGAAGCACGTAAACACTATTGCAGACAAGTGTAATCGGCACACCCTTCGTTTTCTTTTCCAAAGTAATATGCAGCTTGTCCATGTGCAAGCCTTGCCAAGCTCAGCTTGTTGGGAAAGATTTGTGACCGTGACATTCATGATCATGCCCATATCTGTACCTGTACCTCCCTCTGTCCCAACCGTATCTTCGATAGTCTAAAGTATGGCCCCGAAAGTGAAGGTTTTCGAATATCTGCCATCATAAACAGTGAAGGTTGTTTGAAGAAATAAGAATAGAAAGAAAGATGCGAGACAGGTAGCAAGAGCAAAAGAAAATCTAAAAAAGCGGATAAAAACGTTGCAAGCTTTGAAATCTTTCCTTAGACGCATTTCGGTTTGCACTTATCGCTCCAAGACCAGGCAATCCACGACGCGGAGGAAAACAGGAAAAGCTAATTTCTTTTTTGTGATTGTTTCAATAATCATGTTAGTTATAAAAAGGAAAAGTTTTGTTTTTATTGTCGAAGTGCACGTTGAATCCAATCTTGTTTGATCCCTTTGAATTTTTACCCCCGCATTATCGCCCTGTTTTCTGGAACCTTGTTTGGATTGCTGCGCTCATTATTCTGAACCTTATTCACATCTTGGAGAAAGAAAATGTTGCGAAAACACCGAAAGGGAACAATTCAAAGGAGAACTTACTTTCCACGATTCAAAGAATTCGCCATAATCGAAGAAGTAAGCTCTGCGACGTTGTTACATTATAGGCAGAAGCAAGACTGCTAAATGCACGAAAAACCGCCTGAAACAAGTCAAACTAGAGAAAAAGCGAGAGATCTAAAACACGGTCCACATTTCTCATCGAATCAAAATAAGGGGTTTGAGAGATTGTCAGCGTGAAGGTAGAGATCAAGAGCTAGATTACGATATACAGTCTGTTAGAATTGGGTTCAGAACAACGAAGAAAACGGTACCAGAGCCAAGTGCCCCGTGGCCCCGTTTAAGCTAGCGAGAGCGCGCAATGCCGGAGACGCAGACGAGCAGAGGATGACCAGAGCCGACGAGGCACTTGGCTCTGATGGTAGATCTCCGCGGAATCTTACAAGGGGAGATACTTATTCGAAGTGGCCTTTCCATACGAAATGTATACCGTCTTATAGAGCATGGAACGCTGATTCCGAACCTGCTTTCGATATCTGCAAAGCGCTTTTGCGATGGGAGTTATGAAAACTTTTGACGCAAAAATTTCGAGACGCAGCTACTATAAAATCTTTCAGAACTGTAGTCTGTGAGCTAAGAGGGGATCATGATTACTACCAGGGGCTTCTTGCAGTTAATTTTTTTCATTCTATCAAATTTGAGGTAGTCATTACTCTATTCAAGCACCGGAAAGACCTCAACACTCGTTTTTACCTCAAAGGCAGTGTCCCACCAGACTGGGGGTATCTGGCTCTCGTAGTAATGTGATAGTAGCCCCCTACCTAATCGATGCCTGAAGTTCGGAGCGAAAAAGGGGGTCTACCACGCCTGAAATTTGCTCCGGAAGTGGCCCGAATCTTACGGTAGGCCGAATGCCGCCACAGCAACATCGATTGCAAGGCCAGAGTGCGCATAGCGCACACAGTCATGAGCGCAGGGTCCCGCAACGACTCCGCGTGTCTACTTTGCATCCATCTCCTACTCGCCCGAGCCTACCGTAAGATTCGGGCCACTTTCGGAGCAAATTTCAGGCTTGGTAGACCCCCTTTTTCGCTCCGAACTTCAGCCATCGCTTAGGTAGGGGGCCTACTATTACATTACTACAAGAGCAGATTCCCCCCGTTCTGTTGGGGCACTGCCTTTAACCGAAACCTTGAATTTTTGCCTCAAAAAACTTGTAACTCTCATCCCAAAAGCGCTGTGCAAATACCAAAAGCAGATTCGGAATCAGAATTCCATGCTCTATAAGATAGGACACATCTCCTATGGAAAAGGCACTTCGACCAAGTATCCTTCCCTTGTTAGCGAAACCCTGCAACATTACATATCATTCTAATCGTCATGACACGAATAGGAGCCTGACAACTTCCCAAGCGTTGAAAATCACTTATTAACGAAACGAACCGCTTTTGTGTACGACTTTCATCTCTTTTCCATAGCCTTTCAAATCAGGATGCGCGTATTTTCACTGTGAAGAAAGGTCAGAGAAGCCAAATGTCTCAAAGAACACATTCACTACTGACTCTCCCAAGGCTAAGTATCGTGCGTCATGAAATTAGGTGAAATTGAAAGTCGAACAAGATTCAGTTTTTGATTTTTCTTGTGAGCCTTCTCCATCATATTGTTGACCTTAGGAGGGACTGGAACAACATCAGGATTTGTTATTGAAATCAAAGCGACAGTCACAACAAACGTTTTGCCAGTAACAAGTAAACTTGCAGGATAATTGATACGGACTTTGATTTTCTGTATATGGCATCTTTTCGCCAAAATCGTGGTAAGAGAGGGGGCGTCGAAAAGAAGGAGCGCCGCATAATGACCTGACTATTGGAAGTTCGAGCAGCGAAATTTATTCTAGTGAAATGCACTTTTCTAGGTGTTTGCAAGGCAGAAATTTGGAAACTAAGCAAAGACTACGGATAGATTAAACTTTTTCTGCCCTTGTCCCTCACTGTCAAAGACTGCGGGTAGTGGAGAGCGGATTGACAAAGGATGCATAGTGCTGTAACGCTCTAAACGGAGTTGGACAAACATGTTTTTAGGACAAAGAAGCCTAAATGACAATTTGGGGTCGCATAGGCATAACGCAAACCAGAATGAAACGATTCAGAAAGAGATACTTCCAGAGCAGTGAAGAGAGAATTTATTTAGATATGTAAAGTATCTATGGTGTAAAACTGAATAACGAACTGAACAAGTGTCAGCTGAGTACAAGCAAAAAAGACTTTGCTATACACAGGTTATCGGTAATGCTTATCAACGCTGAGTTGATGGTGGTTACGGGTACGTGTAATAAAAGAAGTAGGAAGAGGTAAACAGAGTCAGAAAGTTTTTAGTGTCGAAAAATTTTTGATCTTAATAGCTAAATTTAGAAAGGGGTGTTTGTGTTTTATGCCGCGAATATCTTATCGCAAATTAATAATGATATCAAGACAACAAATGAATATCTCGAAAGGGATAAAAATAGTTTCACGTGAACAGCGTGATTTTTGAAGAACTCCAAGCTCCAATGCAACTGCCAGCCTGGGCATCACAAATAAGTTTTAGCGAATCTTTTTTGACATATGCGGTACAAGCATATGGCCGAGACCCGAACTCCGGCAGGTACGCCCTTGCACCGTTGCACTCGCGAAAACTCAGCTGACGACGATGTTTGTTGAGCATTGTAGCAAAAAGTGAAGCTGACTATAGTGAATAAATGAGAACCATAATTATGACCATTGAAAAGCATCGAATTACCTCACGCGCAGTCAGGAGGCACACCCTAGGTTGCAGGATGTACCGCCCTTCGAGCGATTGTAGCTTTTTTACAAGCAGTAAAAAGGACCTACCACGAGTTTGCAATGTAACCTCCAGTTATGAATTTCACGTGCATCACAGCTTGCTTCCAAAAACCATAGAATGTCATGAATCCCACAATTTCTTAAATATTGTGCTCTAAACAAACCACTTGGTCGTGACATACTTTCTGTAACACTTACTTCTTTTCATTCTTTTGAAAACCGAAAGTTCTGCAAAGTTATTGGACTGTATGACGAAGGAAAATATAGGTGTAATTCTCATTTTGCTGGACACGAACTACGATAGTGCTACAACAATTTCTAGTGTTCGAGTCTTTCATTACAGAGCTTTTTGGTTCTTTACCGTTTTCTCATTTTCTCAAACAAGGACATTACTTCTTTCCCTTACCAGTGGAAAAACTTCGCAGGATGGAGAGAATCTCCTGCCACGTGCCAAAAAAATTGGCACGTCATCTACATGTTTAACAGGTGCTACCAAGAGTTTGTTCAGCCTGCCTATCCACGTTTCTTTATTTGATAAGAAGCCCTATTTTTAGTTAACAGTCTCGTGAATGAGCTTTAACATTATGAAAATGGCATTCTGTGTTCAATAAACAGATTAGGTTTTCCCAAAACAGAAAAGTGAGCTATTGTTCTGTCATATAAACCACGAGACAATCTGTAGCCAGGTACTTCAAGTCATCATTTATACTCTTTCCCGGCTAAATTCGCATGAAAACAATGTGAAGAGCAGAATTTCTTTAACTCATTGCCGAAAGCTACCAAGATGTTTTAATAAACGCTTAAAACTGTTTTGATTTATAAAAAAACTCAGCTTTCGAGTCATTCAAATGCTCTTGTACCTCATCGGAAATGATTCTAAAAAACGTCAAACTGACTCCAAACCTGTTAATTTTTATCTTGCCACATGCCAAGGAGACAGCCCTCACAAGATCTATAAAAAAATTTTAGGCTGAAGCACGTAACTCATGAGAACATTTCGAAAAAATGGGTACGAATATTTACCTCTTCACTCAACTACATATGCCTTGAAAGCATTAGCATAAATATGGAAGCAGCCACGATTTAATAGGTTCAACGACGTGAGTTGAACTTATTCAATCGTGGCTGCTATTTGTTAATATCTGCTTGAATACTTATTAGTTGATTTTATCTGTGTTTTAACACATTGACGACGATGCAGATTTTCAGTTGTCTGCCCTCTGTGACCGAGGCCCTTCATGGACCCGCCCACATTTTTCAACTATAATTACGCGTACTGCCATCTACAGCACACCTACAATAGATCTGAAAGGCTGACAAAAAAGGCTGAGATAATCCTTAGATTCAGTGCAAAAGAAGGCTCGTGGAGTGAGTTTATCCCAATATAGTAGTCATTTTAACAAAATTCAAGTCTTGACACACATGGTGTGTCAAGCGGTCGTTAATGTGTTAATTATACATCGGAAAGTTCAATTTTTTTTTTGGATAGCTTGAATGTAAGAGAAATTGAGTTATGAAAGTGAAGTACATAGTGAGACAATATGACAATATTCCTTCATATGACAATCAGTTTTGAACCTAGTGTATATGACTTTACGCTGCTCTGAGAAAAACTAGCGTTTGGTCCTCTCATTTTCGTAGCTGACCAGTTTTTTCACTAGAATAAAAGATCTGTGATCACATAAAAAGTTTATTCTTTTTTGGGCCAATGTGAAACTACTTCAAAGTGATAAAAAAGACAAAAACTTTCATATCGCTTCACTGGATTATTCAATGCTCTTTGATTAAGAAAATGACAGTTGTTCCTTTCTGAAAAAAAAAACCAAATTATTGCTCTCTTCTAAGGAACTCAACTATACCGCAATACAAGCCGAACATTCGAATAGAGGTATTTTATAGAACAAAGTTATGAGCGATTAAAGTCACCAATGGAAGCCGAGCTAGCACGAAATTCTTCCCATTTTTGTCCTCTTAGCAGTGTTTCCAATCTCTGTAGTAAAGCATAGAAGACAAAACCCAGCTTATGATCATTTTCACGCAAGCATTTATTAGTGGTGTTATCTGAAGGCACAGACTGACAAAATTCAAGATAATCCAGATATGTTGAATGCAAGCTCATGACAAAGAAGAGCGCAGCATAGCATATGGTAAATGAGGGTTATTCTGAATAATGAAGGTACAAATTTTTGCGATTGCAGAATGCGGCTGGTTAAAATTTGATACTTTTATGGATAATGTAGTTTGCCACAAGAGAAAAGAAAACGAGGAAAGCTAAGTCAAGTCAGAGCAAGACTGGATGTTA